TATTCCTATGGAATTTAAGACATCATCTATGCTTTTACCCCTAGCATTACATGTGATTTGTGTCAACAACTACGATTTTGCAATAGAAATCAATTTCCTTGCAAATCTGAATGAGATTCTATTAAGAATTATAAATTATCATACTTAATATGACAAGCCCAAAATTTATTTATGAATCACAAGGTATTGGTGGCATCTACTGCATCATTTGCAGATTATCCAGCATTACTATGAGGACTACATCTTGTCAATTTTACAAGATGATTACCTTCAAAGTGCTCTTCCAAATATTAATATTAGATGTGACTACCTCAAGATATCATAAGGTAATACTGACATCTACTGCAAAATTTTGCAAACTATCCACTGTTACTGCAAGGTCTACATCATGTCACTTTGACAGATGATTACCTTTAAAGTGATTTTCTTAAATATAGCATAACATAAGGTAATAGAGATATGAACATCTACTGACAAAAGTCAGATTATGTTTTCTATTACTGTGAGATCTATACCATATTGGTGATTATCTTCAAAGTGTTATCCTATATCAATTGAGGTCTACACATATGGGTATAAAGCATCAGCTATATATAAAAAAAATGCTCCTCCGAAGCATTTGTTGTTGTTCACTAAAATGATTTACTCTCATAGTAAATATTATTCACGCGCAATCGCTATCTGCAAAAGTGGTATCTTGTGCTAATTCAAGTCTCACTTTGTTTGAATATGTCATAGAAAAATATGCAAATATTTGCATACCCTGGTTATTACATTCTATTACATTAGTAAAATACATGGCAGAAGAGCCTGTCACTATTTCTAATTATAATGTCCTCCATCCATCAAGAAGGATGCCATAATTTATAGCAAGTGTCTCAAACACTGTTGCAGTGTCCACATCACATTGTGATTATACTTTCATAGTGACTAACCAATGTCAAACATGCAAATTCTATACGTTTTGGCAGTGACTCTAAACGTCACACACTTCCTCAAGAACGAAGTCCAAAGTGCCAGCAATGACTTCATCACATGTGTTGTATTGAAGGATACACCCAGGTTCAACAAGGATCACCTTGGCCATGATTGTTCTCAAGCAAATCAGTTTATCCACATACATCACTTACTCCTAGAAGTAAAATAAATAAATGCATGAGCCTTTTTCATGTAACATATGGATGACATTTCCAAATGCAAATTCATGTTAGGTGGGATTGTTTATTTTAAGATGGTTTATGACATCAGTCATTTTATCCATCTATGGCATTGTGGCGACTATAACTCCACCTTCGAAAAATGTGTCATGGCTATTCTCTAAATAGCTATCTATGTTCTTATGCATTTTATATGTCACCAACTTCACTTAGTTCTCAAACTAAGTACATAATGGATGGATATTTATTACCATGAATATTTCTCTTAAGAGATACATGTTGTCGTGAGCACATCACGAATGATGACTCATTCATTTTTCAAGACCTCAAGTCTATCACATCTCGCAATTCTGTCACTTAATCAACTTCGAGTTGAGATCTCGTAATCAAATATTTTTATATGCCCTTAATACACTTTACATAGAGTTTCTTAAAATCATCAGATTCACCGAATGGTTATATACCATTGTTTGAAATTCTTGCTAGTATCGAGAATACTATGCAAGTTAGTGGTCACAAAATAGAATCAAGAGGAATTCAAAGTAAAGTATAGGCTAACAGACAACCAATGACATAATTTCCTCTTAACAGAGAATAGATCATTTTTCACAAAAATGATCACGAATACAACTCTCAAATTCGTCAAATGTGTGGTTATGTAAATATCGTACCTATGATTACCAAACCCTCAAACATATGGTCGAACAACACCACAAATTTATTTAAAAGGCTGATGAGTTCATTGGGATAACTTTGAAAATATGCAAACGTACAACCAGAAAATATTATGGAAAATGATTGTTCTCAAATCTTCATCAGATGGAGAACCAAAACCTTGTGCAACAAAAGGATGGTGAAGTCCTTTTCACCGATGATATGTTTGCGTAATAAAAAATTAGTAATATGGGAGACCTCATGTAATCTCCTAATTATTCCCAAAATATCATTATCATGTACTTGTACTACTACATGTAGTAGGATGTTCAATATCCTATCTCTTGGATGCAATATTTAATAAATTTGACTGTATGGTTAAATTCATACTTCTATTGTTGCGAACGAAATAATTTTCTAAATGTTAATAAATTAAATATCTATTTTGATAGACTTATCCATCCTGGTTTGGGGACGATTAGAAAATTATTGATAATTCTGTTGGTCACTACTTAACAAGTTGCAAAATATCCCAAATCATCAGATTTTATGCGCACCGCATGTGTCGTAGGGGGAATCAGTTTTAAGGCACTCTCACCTTAAAATTCTAAATGAGCCACTCAATCTTCCTTGAATACATTAAGAAGATATATGTGGATTAGTTAACCAGTATGTGGAATTAATTAGATACTTCATGGTACTCATAGGAACATTTATAAAATGATTTCAAGTGTGTCTCTTATCACACACAACCATGCATGATCTTACTAAGCTCAACTTATCAAAGTAGGAGCAAATTCTCCCGAACAAAGGATAATCCCATTCAAATGGACAATGTTGTTGAACTCATTTCACGAGAATTTTCTGATTGCATTGAGTACCCTATGTACATACACAGAATGGTTTAACTAAATTTCTTATCAAAGATAGTTAAATGAATTACATGACCACTTTTAAAGAATTGTAAATTTACCAGCCTCTTGCTAGATACATACGACCTTACACACCATAAGTATGATCTAAATCATACCAACTGCATTTCATACTACTTTCCCCTTGTAGTAACTACGTGGAAATCAACAAAGTATTTCCCATCTGCGATAATTTGGTTACATACCGATATCACCACTCCAGCATACATCAATGGGCACTCATAGAAGATTAGGGATCTATGTGAGGAATAACAATTTATCTGTCAATCAAAATAATTCATAGCCCGTATGCTGATTGCATCAGCAATAAGGATATTTCCTAGTTACCATGTATAGTCGAGGCCGTGGGCTGCTCATTGTAAATATATACGTGCGTGTATGCACCCAAATCAATTGAGAGTTGCATTGCCAAACAATAGAGCCGATCAAGCCGATCCGCGGCGGCGCGGCGGCTGGCGCTGCCGACCAGCACGTGTTCTCGCCCAAGGCGCCCAGCTGCTCGAGCCGGTGGCACGAGCTGCTCGGGCTCAAGAGGGTGGCCGCCGCCCAGAGCCCGAGGACGCCTTCGCAGTCGCAGTCGCCGTCACCAGCGGCCGCATTGGCGAAGACTCCCGGGAGAACGTCGACGGGCACCGCGTCGGACCTCGCCTCGGCGCCGCTCCTCCGCGACAGCTCCGACTCGGAGGCCTCGCTCTCGCTCGCCTCCTCCCGCTTCTCGCACTCCTCCTCCTCGTCCTCCTCCGGCCACGACCACGGCGACGTCAACCCGCGCTTCTCCCTCGACTCCGCCGCCGACCCCAACCCTCCGCGCCTCCGCCTCGTCCGCTCCTCCCACCGCCACTCCACCGCCAGCCGCGCGGCCGTCGCCGCCCAGGCAGGACGCGTCGAGGTGCCTCTCCGTGGACTCCCCGCGCATGAACTCCTCGGGCAAGATCGTGTTCCAGCAGGGCCTGGAGCGCAACTGCAGCTCCCCGTGCAGCCTCCACGCCGCGGCCAGGTCGCGGTCCATGGCCTGCACCGTCAACCGGTCCTACTCGTCCGGCGTCTACGTGGCCCCCGTGGTGCTCAACGTGCCAGTCTGCTCGCGGACGGTCTTCGGGTTCTTCAAGGACAAGAAAGAGTGGACGGCCAGCAAGGACTCATCCTCATTGAGGTCGTCGTCCCGGTCGTCGACCCTGGGCCGGAAGACGACGCCGACGCCAGACGCCGCAGCGGTGGAGCGGCGAGCAGGCCCTGCGGGTGATCCGTCCGGTTGAAGATACGGCGGGCGATCGAGCGCTTGGTCGTGCATGGAAAGCGACGGGCTAAGCTAGGGACGCAATGATGGATGCATAGCGCTTTGTTTGGTTTTTAGCTGATCTGGTTTGTTCTTTGATCTGTCTAATCAATTTATTGTTCTTCTTTTTCTTTTCTCTCTTGACTGTAAATTTGGAGATTTGCTCTTCTTCTCAATCCTCAAGGCCGTTGTAGCTAGCGCGTCTGATTCTGATTTGGTTGTTTGCAAGAAAAAAGATCACAAAATGTTGTTCTGTCAACTTGATTGAAATGAGCAAATGATTCACACTCTTGTCATTGTTCAAATCCGCAAATGCATTGCTCTGTCGATCGATCAAGCTGGCGTAGCACAGTTACAAATGCAGGCAAACAGAGAGGGAGTGAGCTGCGGGTTTGTCTCCTTTAAAAATTAATTTAGGTGTTTTCGTGGCCTGCGGGTAGATTCAAACCAAAGAAAGGGGCCTCTTTGCAAAATGGCGCATGCTGACCGGGTCGGCACCCACATGTCCACATGTCGCTCTGTGATTGGCCAGGACCAAATTTGCACCTTTGATGCAAGTTCAAGGACTAGGTAGGATCAAAATGCAAGTTTTAGAACCAAACCATCACATTCAACGCAAGTTGTAGGACTTCCGGTGCTTTTATAACTCTTCTTATAAGAAGAATGTAAGATTTGTACAGCACACCGGTGAGTCCAACAGTCCAAAAACTTCGCACTTTGTGGGGTTTAACTGAACCCCCATGCCCCACGTCAGTGCCTCATGGCCGTCGCCGTCGACGTCCGTGGCTCCATCCAGCTCCTCCGCACCTGCCGCGCCGTGGCCGGCCAGCAGCTGCACCAGGTCCTCCTCAAGTCCGGCCATGTCCCGTCCTCCCTCCCGCCCTCCAACTCGGTCCTCCTCATGTACGCCCGTTTCTCCCCGACCCACCGCCGCGACGCACGGCGATTGTTCGACGAAATGCCCGCCAGGAACTGCTTCTCCTACAACTCCCTCGTCACCGCCCACCTCAACTCCCGGGACCACGCCGAGGCGCTCCGTCTCTTCCGCTCCATGCCGGAAAGGAACAACTTTTCCTGGAACGCAGTGATCACTGGCATGGTCTCTGCAGGGGATTTGGACACCGCCCACAGTCTGCTGGACGAGATGCCCGTCAAGGATGCTGTGGCTGTCAACGCTGTGATGCATAGGTATGTCCGGTGCGGCCGTGTGGATGAGGCGCTTGCTTTGTTCAGAGAGATTGGTTCGGCATGCGGTGGTGCAGCGGACTCCTCGCCGTGCAATGATCTCTTTGTGCTTGCTACGGTTGTTGGTGCTTGTGCTGACCGGATGAAGTACGATTTTGGGAGACAAGTGCATGGTCGAATGGTGACTGCCAAGATTGAACTGGATTCGGTTTTGAGTTGCGCATTAGTGGACATGTACTGCAAGTGTGGGGATGTGGACTCTGCTCGGCGTGTCTTTGATGGTTTAGCACAGATTGACGAGTTCTCTGTTTCTGCCCTGGTCTATGGCTATGCTTCACGTGGACAGGTAAACGAGGCGTTACATATTTTTGACAGGGTGGAGAACCTCAACATTCTTTTGTGGAATTCTCTCATCAGTGGCTGTGCATTTGCCTGCCTTGGAGATGATGCTTTTGCTCATTTTGTAAGGATGATGCGGTCAGATGTGTTGCCTGATTCTTCAACGTATGCCAGCGTTCTGAATGTTTGTGGTTTTTCAGGAATGCTCAAGTCTGGGCAGCAGATACATGGGTGTGGTCTAAAGAGTGGGACTGTCAATGACATGATAGCAGCAAGTGCTCTCATTGACTTCTACTCAAAATGCAGCCTTTGGGAGGATGCTTGTCGAGCTTTCAGTGAGCTTAGGTTTCATGATACTGTGGTGCTCAATTCAATGATCACTGTGTACTCAAACTGTGGGCGGATAGAAGAGGCGAAAAGAGTCTTTTCGATGATCACTAGCAAGAGTGTCATATCATGGAACTCTTTGGTTGTTGGGTTGAGCCAGAATGGACATGCAATTGATGCCATGGAGCTGTTCTGCAAGATGCATCGCCTTGGTGTGCGGCTCGACAAGGTTGCTATAGCTAGTGCTCTGAGTGCATCAAGTAATATTTGCTCCATAAGTTTTGGGGAGCAGATTTTTTCTCTTGCTACTGTTCTTGGCTTGCAGTCTGACCATGTTGTAGCTTCTTCAGTCATCGATCTGTATTGCAAATGTGGCAACTTGGCCAATGGTTGCAAGATTTTCGATGGAATAGACAAGCCTGACGAAGTCATGTGGAACTCAATGCTAATTGGTTATGCTTCCAATGGGCATGGACGCAAGGCACTAGAACTCTTGGAGCTGATGAGAGTTAGCGGTGTAAGACCAACCGAACGGACATTTGTTGGTGTCCTTTCCGCGTGCTGCCATTCTGGACTTGTGGAAGAAGGACTGACATGGTTTAAGCAAATGCAGGAGGATTTCTGTCTGATTCCATCAGCTGAGCATTATGCATGTGCGACTGACCTGTTAGTCCGGGCAGGTCGGCTAGATGAAGCAGTTGAGTTCATCGAGAATATGCCCTTTAAAGCCGATACAGTAAGCTGGACTACAGTTGTTGGTGGTTGCAAAGCTCAGGGCAATGAGGCTCTGATCCAGAAGATGTCAAAGAGACTGAAGCAGATGGAGGAATCAGGGTCACCACATTCCAGTCTGTATGTTCAGCTGTCCAGTGTGCTTGCTGCTAAAGGGGATTGGGCCAAATCAGCAGAAATGAGGGGTATGATGCGTGAGAGAAGAATTGCGAAAAATCCTGGTTGCAGTTGGATTGACAGTTAGAAATTATGTTTCGATCAGCTGTTGTGTCTCAGAGTAGTTGTTTCTCCACCACAAACCATCTCTGTAAACAGATGAGCAAGAAACAAATTTTGCTGCTGGAAAAACACAAATGAAGACACACTTAGAAATGTTGTCATCTCTATACAAACTGATTCTTTTACTGACCATAAATAAACTCCAGTGGGAAAGATCTTGCAGTGGGTTTGCTTTATTGGTTATCCAGAGCCTGAAGAATTGGGGGAACCAGGTTCTGGTTAGCAGTAGGAAATCTGCAGGTAATTCATTTCTAAACGTTTTTTCCTCACTGATGCCATTTTTCTGCTGTCAGTGCTACAGATAGGCTGGATGACATTCCAGTTGGATACTGGTTGGAACCACTATTTTGTAGCAAAACAAGCAGTCAATTTAACTATCCGAATGCTTTCGGAGACAAATGGTCCAAAGTAATAATTCACATACTATATATGAGAGAAACCAACATTCATTTTACATATTTTTTTTCTAGTGGGGGAGCGTTTTTTAATGATTGTAAAATGAGTTTTCATTTCCAATCTAAGATCTGAAATTCTTGAGTCAATGAAAAATTATATCCACCTCTTTTTTGAAAAATTATATCCACCTCTTAAATTGTTTATGAAGAAAGAAAGTGCAGTCTGAACCCACCCACGGTTAGTTATTTTACCGTTCCAAAAACTGAACGGAGTACCCCCGTCATTCAGATTGCAAGAAAAGTATCCTGGGGCAAGCTCTCTATTGAGATGAACGTACGAATGGAATCCGGACATATCAAGTTTCATAATCGTTGTAAATTCAGAAGATGCATTTGAATATTGAGACACGGCTAACTTCACACATCATGATTCAAATATGGTGCTCCTACTTACATGAATACACTCTTTTTTTAGGGAAGACCATCATGACTAGTTTTATTGGAACTTAAGCAGAAATTACATCATCCACAAGACTGGAAACAAGACAAGCCGGAGGCTCGTCTGTCCAGTTGCTAGAAAGCTTATTACAAAAACTATAGTTAGCTAGCACATGCGCTGCTTGATTACATGAATACACTCTTTGTTTCCAAATAGTATTTAAACTGCCAAAATGTTTTACACTTAAAAAAATAAAATCGGATGGAGGGATGGTTGTAATTTGGGAGAGACATTTGTTTGTTTTCCTTATAACAACCACAAAAAGGAAAATCACTCACGAGCAGTACAGCAGCGGTGCCTAGAACTAGACTAGGCCCCGCCACTCTCTTGACTGCCGTGCCGTCAGCTCCATCACTCTCTACCACTCGTATCGTCTTGTCAAGCAGAGCAAACAGAAGCAGCATATTAGGCACACCGTGGGAAGAAAGAGAAGCAGCATAGAGCAGCGGAGGAGGAGAAGAAGGGGTCCATGGGGAACATCCTGAGGTCCCTTCAGCCCCAGCAGCAGCAGCAGCAGGAGGAGGAACCCCTGGATCCCCATGGCCTCGCGCCGGCCGCCGCCGCCATCGCCGCCCTGACGTGCGACCTCAGCAGCTTTGAATCCTCATCCATGGTAACACACTCGTCCCTGTCAGCATGCATGCATGAATGAATGGTGGTCACTCCATCACAAATCATAAGAGTATTCACCGCGTAGTGTGTGCTGGGAGAAGGTTCCTATCCTTTGGCGTGTGATACCTGTGTGCATGTGTACATGCGCGTCTCTCTCTTTCTCTCTCTGTAAATTTGGGGGTTGGGGTGAGAATAGGAGAAATCATGGACGTTGTGTAGCACTGTAGCTTCTATCAATCTTTGCGCTTTCTACTGGTACTACCATTCAAAGGATTTTGACCCAACACCGCGAGCAAATTTTGCCTCCTGGATGAACTAATCAACTGCTTCTGAGGCTAGCTAGAGCAGCAATTGCATTATTTTCTACCGAGATTTGGTCCCAATGCATGTGCAAGATTTGGTCATTGTGGTAAGGGAGAAGTTTCAGACCTCAACGCTTATTTTCAGTACACAACCACTTCTCCGTCCCTCGGTCCAATGCATGTGCATGTGTACACACTGGACTTGAGGCAGTATGCCACATTGCAGCTACTAGCAATTTCCATGAGCGCTCACCTATTTTTATTTATTTGTTAACATTCTGATGACGCATCAGGCAAGCTCAATGTTTTACTTCCTCTTATCCTATGATGTGGCGTGCATCTTCGGATGCAGAGGCTCCGAGGCTGGGCTCTCTTCCATTATCTGAAAATGCACACATGGAGTTTTATGCTTCATATTTTAGGTTCCGGAAGGGCTCGGACAGCACGTCACTTCGTCCCAGAAAGCACAGATTAATTGGTAAGGGGTAGCTTCAAAAGGCTGTTTTTGTAGACAAATAATAATAAATATTTATTCATGTGGTGTGCCTGTTGATGTGAAATTTTGTTTGAGTTTAGTAGAATTAAAGGCACCTATGGTTGTTAGAAAACAGAAAGGTCCGGTACTGACTTAGATTTTACTAGTTCTCGATTTCAGAATGACTTTAAATTTCTTCATAGGACCCCCATCCAAATGTTTTCTTTTCTTACTCTTCTTATGATAAGGTGCTCAATACTTATCCAAACATAGAACACGCCATACTTTTAAATGGTAAAACAAGAGCAGAACAAACTCAAAAAAAAATAAAAAAAATTGGTGTCTTATTAAAAAACTGAAAATTGTGAACTTGCTTGACACAGATAAAAGGAACGGAAAGCAATGTTTGCAAGCAGTATAGCCAAAAATATGTAGGATTACTTGGCAGTTTATATTGATTAATGATGCTTTGATTATTTACTGGGTTTACTTCTGTGACATTCTTCACAAGATTAAGACTGGATTCCAAGTCCACAGTGCACACATGGTGACTTGATCTTGTTGTTTATTTGATTTATTTGTATCAGTAAGGACTGTAAGGTAAAGAACAAGAGGGATAGTACTTGATAGATCGTACTGGCAACTTTTTTTCTTCAAAAGTACATCCTACTAGCAACAATTGGTATATGATACACTTATTTGGACTTAAACACTTTGATCTTTTAATTTACACGAGAACAGGTACAAGTGTATTTTGGAAGCATACAGGAACACAACCCCACCGAGAACACCAGCAGAGGCTGCCCAGCTAGTTGCGACAGCCCTAAACTGGATCCCAAGAGTTGATTTGGAGGTAATTCGTCTCTCTTGGATCCAAAAATAGTTCAGCGGGAGTGTGTAAGGGAATGATGCAAGGATCAATTGTCATATTTGTGTGCGTGGGATGTGGCATATATAGCTACTCCCTCCGTCCGGAAATACTTGTTCTCTAAATGGTTATATCTAGACTTATTTTAGTTATAGATACATCCATTTTATTCATTTGTAGGACAAGTATTTCCGGACGGAGGGAGTACAAGTTTGCAAACTTTGTTAAAAATAATTTAGGTTTTCACACTAGTATCAGTTTTGTTTGTATAATCCGAAACGATAAACCCAAGAAATTCACTGCAGTTTGCGTTATATTTTTGCTGTTCCAAGTGAATATATATATGTCATACCCACCCCATTAACAATGTTTTTTCCTCAGGCTATTCTTGAATTTTACAACTTCCCGATCCCAACAAGCGAAGCAGCATTCTCAAACCAACTTCCAACGGCACTTCCAGATGGCGTGCAGTTTGTGCTGAACACTTTGCCGGTCAGATGTGATAAACTGAAAAATATGCTTACACTGACATCAAAATATGAACAGTGCTTTACACCAGCATGGACAAATGCTGTTTCTCATAATCACTATGGTTCTCAGGTTAATGCAAAGTGCATTGGAGATGGTGATGGCTTTACTGCTTATGTTGCTGTAATGGATGATCCCAGGGAGTCGGCAAATGTACCACAAAAAGTGTATGAGATGGTGACTGAAAGGACTCAAGCACGCATCCGTAGGGATTACGACAGGGCTGATACTCTTCGGAGTACCATTGACGAAGCTGGATACAAGTATTAAAACCATACCTTTCCATATTCCCAGTCTTTAATACCATAATTTACTGTAACAGGGAATGTTTCCTTTTTTTAGAAAAGGAGGTTAACACCCCCTGCCTCTGCGTTATTTTGATGCACACAGCCATATTTATTTATTATTTAGAGTATGACTAACATCATTTGGTACATAGAAAATCCATGAAGGAGAAAAAGATAGAAGCCACAACCGGCGTATAACAGAAATCTACACAAATATCCTATTATTGGACCGCCATCCAAACCGGTTGAATGTATCCCGTGTGACCGTCTATGTTTGATATTTTATATGTAGACTCATTAAGTTTGAATTCCACTTAAGAAGCTGAAAAAATAGTGCTGTGATTTTGACTTGGAACATTTTTTTCACTTAAGAAACACAAGATAATAAGTCATGAAAATAAAGTTACGTTTATTTTGACTCACAAATGCGAAACTGGCATAAGAAACACAAGATAATAACGTTAAACCACAAGAAAAATACATTGACTTCCGACGGAAGACAAAACTTATGTGATTAGCGTGACCCTATCAGTTTGAATTAGGTTCTTGCTTTGATCTAGCTATATATTATTTGGAATCATAACTTACTACTAATTTTTGTGAGCAGGATAATAATCCGTTCAGGCAGTGAGATCCTTGCAAGGAAATACCGAATCAGAATGAGGTATAATGCTGCTCTAATTTGCACCTTCAAATTCAGTAATAACGGGAAATAATGTCATGAAGTGCACAATCTTTTGTGAGTTAATGGGGAATAGATGCACCAGAGCTGAAGATGCCATATGGGAAGGAATCAAAGGATGCTTTGGTGAAGCTCATTGGTGGGAAAAGCACCAGGATTTATGTGTATGAGCAGGACCAATTTGGCCGATATGTTGGCGACATCTATTGCGACAGTGTGTTCATCCAGGTGAACTAGAAACTTTCCTGTAAAAAGAGAGAGAAGCTATTCAATACCTCACATGCTTTTTAGGCTTTGGCTATCGCTTCAATTCTGATTAGAGTGATTGTGTGTGTCTCGGTCCTTCAGGAGCAGATGCTGAAGAATGGTCATGCATGGTATTTCAAAAATTATGATTCACGCCGAGAGTTTTCTGAAGTAAGAAAATCTACTACACATGTACTCGCAGAATATGTTTATATCGGCTGAAAGTTCTGTGCTTGTGCTCTGATTGTGCAGTGGGAGAAAAAGGCAAGAGCTGCGTGCCAAGGGCTTTGGGCGTTAAATAACCCTGAGAAGCCGTGGGACTGGAGAAGAGACGAGCGCAATGGAAGACACATCACTACTGAGGTCTATTAATCATATCTTTATATGCACCGTGGGGTGTTACTTCTTCATTTTTACTTAAGTACTGCACACTCACTTCCACTTACGCAACCACGCAAACACACGGCCGCATGGGTAAGGATCCACTAGAAATATTACGAAAGCGCGAGAGCCTTCACACATGGCGGGGACGCACTTTATCACTGAGTGTGCACACGTGTGTGTACTCTGAATACAGCACACCATGTTCATGTGTACTCCGAAGTCAGCACACCATGTTCTATGCTCACTCAGGATCAAACCTGGGTAGGGCGTGGGCATCCTCGTCCCCGACGCTATGCCACAAGCCCATCAGTATTATTTGTGAAATTTAACTGCTGTGGTTTTCGAGGGAAAATAAAAGAAGCAGCAGCAAGATATGAGCCCTCATATTTGAAATGTTACTACAAATGCCCTAACTCCTATGAGTTACAGTAGACACTTATGCTTTCTGTTAAAACACCGAAAGGGAAGAACTAGCAACCCAATTAAAGATGTTGAGATATGTGACTGAATCTCTAGGAGTCTTAAGTGACATACTAGAAGTTGGAATAGGTGTCAACTGATGAAAATATGTCCTTCGTAAGTAAAGCTTCCAATGTTTCAAGTTTTCTGAAGAATGAGTGCAAGAAAAAAGTTAGCTTATGAAAAGAGGCTCTTGCAATAGCTGTCCTCCAACCATGTACTTCCTCCATTTATTTTTAGTCTGCATATAATATTTGGTCAAAGTCAAACTTTATAAAGTTTGACTAACTTTGCAGGAAAAAATATCAACATCTACAATACTAAACCTATATGGTATGAAAATTAATTTCATGATTCATCTAATACTATTGATTTCATATTGTGAATCTTGATATTTTTTTCTATAAACTTAGTCAAAGTTGACAAAGTTTGACTTTAACCAAACTTTATATGCAGACTAAAAAGAAACAGAGGGAGTAAAATATAAGATCACTCTAAGTTAATTTACATGGCATATAGTTGGAGTATGGAAACATGATGGTGCAATAGCTACCCTCTAAGCATGTAAAATATAGATAACATGAGTCTAAACCAATACTATTATCTATTTAGCCGTTGGTGTGTGTAACCTGCAGTTGTTATATCTCGTTCCACTTCTTTTCACGAGTACACAAACAGATTGGGCAAAGAAAACAGATCAGTTCTGTTTACCTTCGCAACGGTTTGGCCATAAATAGGAGGAATATACATATCTTTTTTCCCCTTAATTAGAATGCAATGCATCATTCTTTCCAATTTGTTATCAGCACAAATAGCGCTATTTTGCCCTTTTTAATCTGTTTGATGATGTATGCTTTCTGTATGCAAGTATTTTATTTGCACTAACCAAAAACTGAACTTCGGCAGAAGATGTTCGCAAAGGTTGCTTGGTTGGGAGCCTTGCTACTTGGAGGAAGATATTTGAAGGTAGTTTCTTTTCTGAAGGGCTTTCGTTGAATTTTCCGCTGTCTCTGTTCGGGCACTATGTAGTAATACTAGAAACACAATGGCTAATGAAGGCAAGCTTGTGAAAACCCGACTAACATATTGTGCAAAATCATCTCATGTATGCAGAAATTGGCGAGCTTCTTATGGGAGAAGATTGTCATGGGGGGTCACGCGGATTAGGAGAAGGCAACAAAACTTTACAAGGCGGGGAGGCGGGCGTACAACCAGCCCATGGGACCCCAATTTTGCTACGCATTTCACATGATGTGTGCGCCGAACTGGCGGTCGTAGTTTGTTGTTTGTTGATGAGCTGAGGCTCATTTCTCTTGTGTTGGGACGGCTAGATTTCACAAGCTAGTGATACTTCACTTGTGAAATTTCCATGTAACTCTACCAACTAGTTGTATCTTGGGGATGTGGCTCCCAATATAAGGGCAACTCCAACGCCGTGCACCAAAACGGAAACACCAAGGGCGTGTTTGGTTGCCCGCATTGAGTCCAATCAGGCCCGCACAGGAAAGGAGAGGCTTGTTTGGTTGCCTGGTTTTTCTGTTGAGCCTGCATCGCACGCTTCTCAAATCAGCCTAGAGCCTGACTCGTTGTAAACGCTCGGATCGGCAGTTTCTCGTGAGTCAAGCTGAGTGCGGCGCGAGATCGCACGGGCGGGAGCGAGGCGAGGGCTGATAACCCACAAGTATAGGGGATTGCAACAGTTTTCGAGGGTAGAGTATTCAACCCAAATTTATTAATTCGACATAAGGGAGCCAAAGAATATTCTCAAGTATTAGCAGCTGAGTTGTTAATTCAACCACACCTGAAAGACTTAATATCTGCAGCAAAGTATTTAATAGCAAAGTAATATGATAGTAGCGGTAACGATAGCAAAAGTAATAATGTTGGTTTTGTAGTGATTGTAACAGTAGAGCGAAAATGTAAATAAGCGAAGATCAATATATGAAAAGCTCTTAGGCAATGGATCAGTGATGGATAATTATGTCGGATGCGATTCCTCATGCAACAGTTATAACATAAGGTGGCACAGAACTAGGTTCAGTTCATCAATGTAATGTAGGCATGTATTTCGAATATAGTCATATGTGCTTATGGAAAAGAACTTGCATGATATTTTTGTCATACCCTCCCGTGACAGCGGGGTCCTATTGGAAACTAAGGGATATTAAGGCCTTCTTTTAATAGAGTATCGGACCAAAGCATTACCACTTAGTGAATACATGAACTCCTCAAACTACAGTCATCATCGGTAAGTATTCTGGTTATTGTCACTTCGGGGTTAACGGATCACAACACATAATAGGTGACTATAGACTTGCAAGATAGGATCAAGAACTCACATATATTCATGAAAACACAATACGTTCAGATCTGAAATCACGGCACTCGGGCCCTAGTGACAAGCATTAAGCATAACAAAGTCATATCAACATCAATCTCAGAACATAATGGATACTAGGGATCAAACCCTAACAAAACTAACTCGATTACATGATAAATCTCATCCAACCCATCACCGTCCAGCAAGCCTACGATGAAATTACTCACGCACGGCAGTGAACATCATGAAATTGGTGATGGGGGAAGGTTGATGATGACGATGGCGACGGATTCCCCTCTCCGGAGCCCCAAACGGACTCCAGATCAGCCCTCCCGAGAGAGATTAGGGCTTGGCGGTGGCTCTGTATCGTAAAACGCGATGAATCCTTCTTCCTTATTTTTTTCTCCCCAAACGTAAATATATAGAGTTGAGTTGAGGTCGGTGGAGTATCAAGGGGGCCACGAGGCAGGGGGCACGCTCAGGAGGGCAGGCGTGCCCCCCACCCTCGTGGACAGGGTGTGGGCCCCCTGGCCTTGATTCTTTCGTCAGTATTTTTTATATATTCCAAAAATATTCTCCGTTGATTTTCAGGTCATTCCGAGAACTTTTATTTCTGCACAAAAATAGCACCATGGCAATTCTGTTGAAAACAGCGTCAGTCCGGGTTAGTTCCATTCAAATCATGCAAGTTAGAGTCCAGAACAAGCGCAAACGCGTTTGGAAAAGTAGATACGTTGGAGACGTATCAACTCCCTCAAGCTTAAACCTTTGCTTGTTCTCAAGCAATCCAGTTGACAAACTGAAAGTGATAAAGAAAAACTTTTACAAACTCTGTTTGCTCTTGTTGTTGTAAATATGTAAAGTCAGCATTCAAGTATTCAGCAAAGATTATGAACTAACCATATTCACAATAAAATTTAGGTCTCATGTTTACTCATATCAATGGCATAATCAACTAGCGAGCAATAATAATAAATCTCGGATGACAACACTTTTTCAAAACAATCATAATATGATATAACAAGATGGTATCTCTCTAGCCCTTTCTGAGACCGCAAAACATAAAAGCAGAGCACCTCTGAAGATCAAGGACTGACTAAACATTGTAATTCATGGTAAAAGAGATCCAATCATACTCAATGTAAACTAATAATAATACATGCTAATGACAGCGGTGCTCTCCAACTGATGCTTTTTAATAAGAGGATGATGACTCAACATAAAAGTAAATAGATAGGCCCTTCGCAGAGGGAAGCAGAGATTTGTAGAGGTGCCAGAGCTCGATTTTGAAACAGAGATGAATAATATTTTGAGTGGTATACTTTCATTGTCAACATAACAACCGAGAGATCTCGATATCTTCCATGCTACAAACTGATACGTCTCTGTCGTATCTACTTTTCCAAACACTTTTGCCCTTGTTTTGGACTCTAATTGTTGGGGAACGTATTAATTTTAAAAAAATTCCTACGCACACGCACGATCATGGTGATGCATAGCAACGAGAGGGGAGAGTGTTGTCTACGTACCCACGTAGACAGCAAGAGGAAGCGTTTATCAACGCAGTTGATGTAGTCGTACACCTTCACGATCCGTCCCGATCAAGTACTGAACGTACGGCACCTCCGCGTTCAGCACTCGTTCAGCTCGATGTCGTCCTCGCCTTCTCGATCCAGCAAGAGGGGCGAAGTAGTAGATGAGTTCCGGTAGCACGATGGCGTGATGACGGTGTTGGTGAAGAACAATCTCCGCAGGGCTTCGCCTAAGCACTACGAAAACTATGACGGAGGATAAACTAGAGGGGACGGGGTAGCCGGCACACGGCTTGGTGTTTCTTGATGTGTTTTGGGTGCTAGCCCTACCCCTCTATTTATCTGTTGAGACTTGGGGTCGAAACTTGGAGTAAAAGCCTCCACAAAGTCGGTTTCACCCAAAAGGCAAGAGTCCTTCTCGGACTCCAGGGCCAGACGCCAGGGTTCCCGGCGTCTGGACCCAGACGCCAGGGTTCCCGGCGTCTGGACCCAGACGCCAGGGACCCTGGCGTCTGGCCGCTGGACTCCGCAAAACTTCCTTTTGCGCTTTCCAAAAACCTTGTGGGCTTTCCCCTTTGGTCCAAATAAAGTGTTCTCGTACCCAAACATTTCGGGAAACATCCGGAACCCCTTCCGGTGAATTCCGAAACCCTTCCGAAGAACAAACACTATTATCC